GTAACTTCTTAGCTGTGTCTCACAGGTTTTGGCATGTCATATTTTTGATAATTCACTTAAAAAATTCTCTAATCTAGGGGTACGTGGGTGGCTCAGTCGGTTAAGCGTCCAACTCTTGGTCTCGGCTCAGGTCATGGTCTCAGGGTCATGGGAATGAGCTGCGTGTTGGGCTCCATGCTCAGCGGGGAGTCGGCTTAAGATTCTCTCTCTCCCTCTGCCCTTCCCCACCCCACTTGCAGGCATGTGGGCACACTCTCTCTCAAATAATAAATAAATTTAAAAAAAAATTCTCTAATCTCTATTTAGAAATATATCTCTTAAATATAACAAGAAATATATCTTTTAATCTGTAAACATTGTGAAATTTTCTAGTTAATCTTTTTCTTAACTGATTGTTATGTTAAACACTGCAAAAAGAATGTTCTCTGTATGATATCAGATCTTTCAAGTTGTTGAAATCTGCTTTGTGTCTCAGACTGTGGTCAATTTAAGAACAGAAGGTCTGTGTGAATCTGAAAAGTATATATATATTGCAGTTTGGGAGTGCATTTTCTCCTTTGAAGGTAATGTTTCATTTCTCTCTGGCTGCTTTTAAGGTTTGCCATTTATACTCAGTCTTTCTCTTAATTTTTAGTTCTCTTGTTGAAACTCTCGATCTGGCCATCTTTTTCCCTTTATCATTTTTTTTTTTTAAATTATAGTTGACACACAATGTTAGGGTAGTTTCAGGTGTACAACATGGTGATTCAACAAGTCTTTTTCTGTATCATTTTAACATAGTTGTTAAATCTGCCAGATAATTCCAATGTTTGGAGCTCCCTGTGTCTTAAGCTTGAATTTTTGGAAAAAATATACTAGGCCATTCATTTGGCAAATAATTTTTGAACACCTTTCATGGACTGTTTTAACTGTTTGGAGTATATACTGTAAACAAAATAATCTTTTCTGAACCTGTTTGGAACCTGGAGTGTTCTGGATGGACATGCTGAATTGCTTTCTTTTTTGCTTTCTGAATTACTCTTTTTTTTTTTTAAGATTTTATTTATTTATTTGACAGAGACAGTGAGAGAGGGAACACAAGCAGGGGGAGCAGAAGAGGGAGAAGCAGGCCTCCTACTGAGCAGGGAGCCTGATGCAGGGGCATGATCCCAGGACCCTGGGATCATGACCTGAGTCAAAGGCAGACACTTAACGACAGAGCCACCCAGGTGCCCCCACTTTCTGAATTACTCTTAATAGACTGTTGTGAATTGAGTTTGCCAGTGTTTTATTTAGAATATTTGTATCAAAATTAAATAGGAACTATTTTTGAACAATATTTTGTTACTAAGTTTGTAACAGTTCACAAATTTTTTTTTAGCGTGTATTGTAAGTTCCAAAAGTATTTTTTTTGTCAGTTCATTGAGGTAAGCTGCATATAACTTAAGTGTCAAGCTAGATGAATTTTTATTTGTGTGTGTATATGCGTGCGCACGTGCTCACACACACACAGGCACTCCGCCCCCTTGTAATTACCACCCAGTATCCCAAAAGGTTCTCTGGTACTTCAAGTTCATCTTACTCTGAATCTGTTATCATTGATTAGCTTTGCTTGTATGTCTGGCTTCCACTCAGTACAGTATATGTGAGATTCATCTATTTTGCTGAGTGTATCAGTTTTTCTTTTTATTGCTATTATGTATTCCATTATGTAACTGTACTACAGTTTTATTTTTCCATTCTGTTGATGGGCTTTTGGACTGTCTCCAGGTTTTGGCTAATAAAACTGCTATGAACATTTCCTATAGGCCCTTTGGTTGACAAACACTCGTTCATGTTGGATATATAACTAGGAGAGGAATTAATACATATAGCTTTAGTAGAAATTCCCTATTATTATTATTTTTTAAGATTTTATTTATTTGAGAGAAAGAGCATGAGCATGAGCAAAGGGGAGAAGACAGATGGAGAAGCAGACTCCCCGCTGAGCAGGGAGCTCGATGCAGGACTCATTCCCAAGACCCTGAGATCATGACCTGAGCCGAAGGCAGATGCTTAACCGACTGAGCCACCCAGGTGCCCTAGAAATTCCCTATTATTTTCCCAAAGTATATATACTTACTTACACTCCCACTGGCAAGGTGCTTCATATTCTGGCCACTATCTCTATTTGGTATTTTCTGACTTTTTCATTTTAGACATTCGAGTGTGTATGTCATTGTGGTTATCATGTGAGTTAGGATAGGGGAGGTGGTAGATACTAGGTAGGGGCATGAAGGAGCTTCTCAATTTCAGGTCATGTTTTATTTCTTGATCTCAATGCTGGTTTTATGGGTGTGTTCACTGTGAAAATACATTGAGCCGTGTCTTCGCCAAAGTATACTTGTGTGTTGTTTTTGTATATATTTATACTTCAACAAAAATTACAAAAATCACAGAGTTGACAATGACAAATTGTTTATCTGAAGAAGTCTCAAGGATATCAAGCTAAAACCGGAGTCAAAATAAGATTAACTTTTTCATACATGAAGGTCAGAATTCTTCTCCATGTTTCCTTCCTTAATTTTTTTTTTTTTTAGAGAGAGTGAGAGAGCGCATATGTGCGAGCAGGGGAGGGGAAGAGGGAAAAGGAGAAAGAGAATCTCCAGCCGACTCCCGGTTCAGCGTGGAGCCTGATGCGGGGCTCGATCCCACGACCCTGAGATCGTGACATGAGTCAAAATCAAGAGTCAGACGCTTAACCAACTGAGCCACCCAGGCGCCCCTAAATCGAACACATTCTATATTTCACCATTAAGTGTAATATTTGCCGTAGGTATATGTTAAAATCCATTATCACACTGAGGAAATTCCTTTCTAGTTTGCCAAGAGTTTTTTGTTTGTTTTATCATGCTTTTGTGTATATACTCAGGTGATCATATCATCATGTCTTAGTTTTTAAAACTATTTATTCTTATTTTTATTTCCACCTTCAGGCATTCCTTCATGGCCTGTTCTTTCTCTGTTATCCAGTTAAAAAGTGGTTTTTCCTCACCTTGCGTTCTTGATTATTTTCAGTCTCTTGCTTCTCTGAGAGCCTTCTGATTTATTGTTGGTGACGTCAGACACTACCAAATTATTATTGTTTCTCAAATCCTTATTTTCATTCTAGACCTACAGTATTATGTTTCATATTTAAGATATATCTTGTTAAAATACAGTATCTAATTTATTTTTTCCTTGCTTATTTTGTGATACTTGTGTTTATACAGATGTTTGTACATATACCCTGAGGAAACTTCTTTCTGCCAATAATTGGTGACCGTGTTCTATCACTCTCTTTCCTTTTATCAATTCCCTCTTTGCTTTACAGCTTTTGCTATAGTAGTTCATGTAAGTGGTGGTTTTTGTCCGTTAGCGTTCCCTTTACCTTTTTGAGAGACTTGGTTCTATAAATAAAAACCTGGTCACATAATTTTAATGTACACTCAGATCTCTTTGGCTCCCCTTTCTTTGAAACAGTGAGCCCTAAAGTAGAGGCATGCACTCTAGATGATATCCCAAATAATCCAGTTGGTATCTTCTATGTGTTCTACAGGTATTTCAAGTGTAACAGTTCCAAAATCTTCCCTTCTCATTTTCTGCACATTCTAGTTATGGTCTCTAAATTGAAGACTTAGAACCTAGAATGTGTATTGCAGTGAAATAAAATATTAAGCTGTCTTTTCACTTTTTAAAACTGAGGGAAAAAATTAAAATTTGTCACAAAATATATCGATAGTTTATTTCTATAATTCATAAATATAAACTTCTTTAGTACTCAAAAATATTCTTTAAGGTTGAAAGTGATCACATACTTTGGAGACTTGGTCTAAAATTACTCTGTAATCCATTCCATGACTTACTTTCTTCATGGCCCTTTCTGGCATCACAGCTCCAGGCTGTATTCTCAATGTTTTCTGTACTGTTCGCCCTCTGTTCATTTCCCAAATGTGTTGGAGGAGCCCTGGCTTTCTTGTACCATGGCACCGTGTTCATGAAGAGCACGGTATTACTATTTCTCAGTCAGCTGTTCTTCTTCAGTGAAGTTCAAAATAGAACTGATTTTGTTCCTCATTTATTTTAGTCTATCTGCTGTGTACTTTCACCTTAGCAATTATAACATACTACTCCACGTTTTCTTACCAAATTGTATGCTACTTGACTACAAGAATAATTTTATTAATCTTAGCATTTCTAAGAACCAGAATGGTTCCAGATACATTGTGGGATTTGATAATTTTTTACATGAATAATACCTTAAGGCAATGGCATAATATTTTTTTTTTTTAAAGATTTCATTTAAGAGACAGCGAGAGAGAGAACACAAGCAGGGGGAGTGGGAGAGGGAGAAGCAGGCTTCCCGCGGAGCAGGGAGCCCGATGTGGGGCTCGATCCCAGGACCCTGGGATCATGACCTGAGCCGAAGGCAGACGCTTAACGACTGAGCCACCCAGGCGCCCCCTGGCATAATATTTCTGTTAGGATTTCTCATCTTCCCTCAAAGTGTAAAACCAGACAAATGTTCTGCAGACTATTTTGGTAATCATGGTAAGGATTGGTTCCCATACAGCTTTTTCCATGTCACCCAATTCTGAACATTTCAGATTGAACAGAAATTCCAGGGATCAGTATCATTTAAGGATGTGACTGTGGACTTCACCCAGGAAGAGTGGCAGCACCTGGACCCAGCTCAGAGGTCCTTGTATAGAGATGTGATGCTGGAGAACTACAGTAACCTTGTCTCACTGGGTAAGGTCTGTTTTTTTGTAATTCTAAATAGCATGTTTTAATTCTTTTAGTTATGAAGCATGTAGACACTGTAGAGTTTAATGATTTTTTATATTGGAACCAGGAATCAGTGTTGATCTCTTTTGGGCACCAGGAAGATATTTGTGTTTACCTCTCCAGTGAAATGTTCAATAGCATCTTCATTGAGCAGCTCTGGAAGCTTGCTTCTCTTTCAGAGGCCCTGCAGGCTAGGCCTTCTGGTCTGAATCCTAAATTGTTTTGCTTTGACAGGGTATTGTGTTACCAAACCAGAGGTGATCTTCAGGCTAGAGCAAGGAGAGGAGCCATGGATATTGGAGGAAGAATTCCCAAGCCAGAGCTTCCCAGGTGAGTTAATGGATACTGCACAGATGAACGTCAGGGGATTTATTATTTTCCCACGATTATTCCAGAGGTTGACAACTTTAAGATGTTTTTTCAAGAATATCTCTTTAGAAGTCTTAATCCTTGGAAGTGACTGGGAATACTGGTTTTTGAACCAAATCTCCAGATACCACTCTTAAAAGAAATGTTCTTTTTGATTCACTTTGTATTTACCATTCTTAATCTGTCAACAGACCAGTCTTTGCCTACCTCATCTTTACTGTTGTTTTTCTTCATTCCTTTGTTTCTCAAAGCAGTTTTCAGTTGCCTACCTTACCTCCATTGCTCTGCATTCCTGCCATCATCAGGCATTCTTTCATATGCTCATTTTTTGACTCAAATAATTTTTAAGTAGTTGCTATTATCTAAATGCTATAGTAGTGAAAGAAATAAGTGTCAAATTTATACAAGTAGCAGTAGTGACCAACAAATATATGAAAACATGGTCAACATTACTAAACATCAGGGAAATGCAAATCAAAACCACACATCACACTATTTAGAATGGCTAGCACCAAGAAGACAAGAGATAACAAGTGTTGGCAAGGATGTGGAGAAAAAGGAGCCCTTGTGCACTGTTGGCAGTGATGTAAATTTGTTCAACTACTATGGAAAACAGTATAGAGATTCCTCAAAAAGTAAAATATAAAATTATCCTATGACCCAGCAGTTCCACTTGGGAAGACACCCAAAGGAAATGAAAACAGGTTATCAAAGAGAGAATATGCACGCTGATGTTTATCACAGCGTGATTCACAATAGCCAGATATGGAAACAACCTAACTGCCCGTCAGTGGATAAATAGGTAATTAAAATAGGTATGTGTAAATAATAGAATATTATTCAGCCATGAGAGAGGAGGACATTCTGCCACTTGTGAAATGGATGAACCTTGAGTGCATTATGCTAACTGAGATAAGTTTGACAGAGAAAGGCAAATACCATGTGGTGTCACTTGTATCTGGAATCTAGAAAAGCCAAACTTGTTATAAACATGAGTAATGTGTTACCAGGGGGTGGGGGATGTGGGAAAAGAGAGATGTTGTTTAAGGGTATAAAAGTGTAATGAGTACATAAGCCCTGGTGATCTAATTTAGCATATAGTGAATATAGACAGTATTGTATTATAATAATCAAACTTGCTGAGGCATTAGAACTTAATTATTCTAATCACTAATAAGAAATGGTAACTATGTAACATAATAGGGGTGCTAATTATTGGTACAGTGGCAATTACATGGCATATAAATGTAACAAATTAACAGGTTGTACACTGTAAATTTATACAGTTATATGTCAAATATAAACTAAAAAGGTAGCACTAAAATCAGATACTTAAGTGTATTAAAGCCCTGTAGTGGTAAAAATTATCCTAGAAATGAGAGCAGAGTTAAATTGTGCTACTCCAAGAAGAGTAGTCAGGGGAAACCTTAAAGAGATCACCATTAGAGCAGAATTTGAATGAAATGATTGTGTGAGCTGTGAGGATCCTGCCTCTTCTCAGCAGGGGTAATAGCAACTGCTAAGCCAATGAGTAGGAATGTGCTTGGTGTTTCTTGGGAAATAGCAAAAAAAAGTCACAGTGGCCAAAGGGGAATGATTGATGGGAAGTGGGGACAGGAAATGATGTCAGGCAGCTATGGTCCAAAAGATGAATATCATAAATCTTACTAAAGATTTTATTTTTATTCTTACTAGTGTATTTTGGTAAACAAGCAACGTCTGATTTATGTTTATAAGATCTTTCTCACCTCTATAGAGAAAATATTGGAAAGAACATAAGCACTTAAGAGAGTTTGCTAGTAGTTTTCCTGAAGGGCAATTATGGTATTTTGTCAAAATTGGGGAGATATGGAGGTAATGAGAAGAGGCTGGATTCTCTCTGTATTTGGAATAACTAAAGAACTAACATCTGTATTGGGGCGCCTGGGTGGCTTAGTTGGTTAAGCGTCTGCCTTTGGCTCAAGTCATGATCCCAGGGTCCTGGGATTGAGCCCTGCGCTGGGCTTCCTGCTCAGCGGGGAGTCTGCTTCTCGCCCTTCCTCTCCCTCTGCCCCTCTCCCCCTGCTCATGTTCTCTCTATCTCTGTCTCAAATAAATAAATAAAATTAAAAAAAAATAAAACTAATCATCAGTATCATCAGAGTAACAAAAAGGGAAGAGATGATGGCCCTTGTAGTATTTAAAGGAATAATGATTGAAAACTTCCCAAATTTGGCAAAAGACATAAAAATACTCATTGAAGAATCTGAGTGAACTCTAAGTGAGATAAATCCAAAGATATCCATACTAATGGCATGTCATGATTAAATTTCTGAAAACAAAAGAGAAAAAATTTGGAAGTAGAGAGAAACAACTCATTTTCTTTGGAAATGATAGTGGATTTGTCATCTGAAACCATGGAGGCTAAAAGGAAATAATACATTTTTTTCCAAGTACTGAAAGAAAAGAACTTTCGAACAAAACTTGTTTGGCTTGTGAAAATATATTCATGAAAGAAGGACAACTGAAGGTATACAAAGGAAAACAAAGAGAAAATGTTGTTAGCAAACTTATCTTTTAAATTTTTTTTTTTTTTAAAGATTTTATTTATTTATTTGACAAAGAGAGACAGCGAGAGAGGGAACACAAGCAGGGGGAGTGGGAGAGGGAGAAGCAGGTTTCCCGCGGAGCAGGGAGCCCGATGCGGGGCTCGATCCCAGCACCCTGGGATCATGACCTGAGCCGAAGGCAGACGCTTAACCGACTGAGCCACCCAGGCGCCCCAGCAAACTTATCTTTTAAAAACGCCTAGAGGAGGTTCTTTAAATAGAAAGGAAATGACACAAGAAAGCTTGGAACTTCAAAAAAGAAAGAACATTGGAAGTAGCAAAAAATAAGGGTAAATATAATAACAGCGTTTCCTTCTCAGGAGTTTCTGAAATCATATTTGTTGGAGCAAAATTTAGAATATCGTATGATTTGATGTTCTACATGTGGAGGAAATGATATATTTATAAGATAGAATACAGGGATTTAATTGAAATTACAGTGTTACATTTCCATTGAAGTCAATGGTAAAATGTTAATCCAGGAAGATTGTAATAAATTATATATGTGCATTTCACCTAGAAATGGACTCGAATACCTAGAAGAACCACTAAAAAACTATACAAGGTGGTACACTTAGAAATATTGTAAGTAAATGAAGGTGGAATCTTTAAAAAGATGTTCAAGTAATCAGTAAGAAAATAAATTAGGAACAGATGAATGAGAAACTGAGAAAACAACAGAAAAATAAAACAGCAGACTTAAACCTTGATATAGCAATATCTATTATAAATGTAAATGATCTAAACACACCAATTCAGGTATAGACTGGCAGACTGGATAAAACAAAAAACATGAGGCAGAGATATGTTATCTACAAGGAAATTCACTTCAAATACAACATAGTGAGGTTGATGGGTAATAGAAAAAGATACACTGTGCAAACATTAATGAAAACAAAAACAAGATTGACTCCATTAATATCAGATAAAGTAGTCTTGAGAGCAAAGGAAATTATTAGAGAAAAAGCAGTATTCCAACGAAAAAGACTGATCCAAAATGTGACCCCACCAAACAAAAAAAAGAACCTCATAGTACACAAATCAAAACTGATTGAGCTGAAAGGAGAAATAAACAAATTTTCAATTATATTTGGGGAATTCAGCACCTTACTCTCAGCAATTGGTAGAACTTCTAGATAGCAGATATAAATTAACAGATATAGAAGAAATGAACAGCACCATCAACCAGCAAGATTGAACGAACATTTGTAGAATACTACCTAAAAACAAGGTATGCATTCTTCTCAAGTGCCTATGGAACATTCAGTAAGATACAACATATCATGGGCCATAAACAAACCTTAGTAAATTCAGCAGAACTGAAACCATGCTATGTTCTCTGAGCACAAGGAAATTAAACTGTGAATCAGTAATAGAAAGTCGGTAGAAAAATATCCAAACCCTTCAGAATTAAATAAGATACATGTAAGTAAAGCATGAATCAAAGAAGGCTGAAAGGAAATTTTAAAAATACATAGAACTGAATGAAAAAATATACCAATTTATGTGGGAAGCAGCCAAAGCAGTGGTGTTAGGGAAATTTATAGGACTAAATGCTAACATTGGATAAGATGAAAGGTCTCAAATCCATAATTAATTTTCTACCTTAAGAGACCGCAAAAGGGCAAAGTAAACCCACAGCAAATAGGAAGAAAATAAAGCAGAAATCAATGAGTTGAAAATAGGAAAACAATAGAGAAACCTACTGAAACACAAAGCCAGTTCTTAGGGGAAAAAAATCAATAAAATTTATAAACCTAGCAATCTTCAATACACACACACACAACAAACCATCAATATCAGAAAAGAAATGGGGGATATCACTTCGGCATTCATTAACAGGAGGATAATTTAAACGTTATGCTCTTAATTTGATGGTTGAGAAGAGATGGATCAATTCTTTAGAAATTCCAAGCTACCAAAACTCAAGATGACATGGATAATTTGAAGGTTCTGTGGATTTTCATAGATGACATAGATAATTTGAATTAAATTTAATTTAAAATAAAGAGATAAAATCTCTTACAGATGTTTTCACCATAGAAGACTACCAAACATATAAACATTTACGGAGGAATTAATAATGATCTTACACAATGTCCTCCAGAAAAATAGAAAGCATGGAACACTTCGTAACAGGTTTTTTTGTTATCCTGATACCAAAACCATACGATGACAGTACAGGAAACAATAATGAATCTGTAGACCTATATCTCCCATAAATTTACTAGCAAAATTTCTTAACAAAATATTAGCAAATAGAAGCCAGCCATGTATAAAAAGAACCATGACCAAGTGGGATATATACCAGGTATGCGAGAGGGGTTCAACATTCAAAAACCGGTCAGTGTAATCCACCGTAGGCTAACAAAG